AAGTAATTTCGGCTAATATGAGACTGCATAGAATTACACAACCATGTCATAACCAAGTAGTTTTCTTGGATCCACTTGGTATACGTAGGGTCTCCCTTGGGAGGTTCTTTCACATCTCCCAAGAGGTACCCTAATTTACCTCTTCCCCCAATAGCCATTACTACCATAACTGTTGTTCCCAAAACTGCATTCTGCCTGATTTTTAAACTCCATCTCGGTCAAGTCTCAAAAATAGCACTTGGACTACCAATCACAATCAAAACAGTGTAGGACCAATCTGTATTCACAGTGTATGTGCACAAAACAGGTAGAAATCTGATCTGAAACCAACTAGCAAACACAACAGCAGCAGTCCGTACAGTTCTCACCCCTTAAGAGAGTTCGAAAACCCCAAAAGAATCTGAAAAATCAGCTTAGAAGCAGGTCTGACATGCTTGGCAGAATTAGGGTTTTAATCAGTCCTTAAAGAAAACATTTCAATTGCACATTCCAATCAGAACCGTACAGATAGACTTGCAGTAGGGTTAATATGAAACCCTAAAAGCTTATCAATGCTAACAAAAACTTGAGGACAGCTCTAGGTAAATCGCAGGGTTTAATCTAACATTAGGGCTTGCCGCAAGCTTATTAGGGATTGCCACAAGATCACTTTCAAACCCTAGAGTAGGAGAAAAGAACCCTAAGGCAGTTCAGCCCAACAGTAGGGTTTGCTGTAAAACCCTAGAGAATCGAAGGGAGAAAACCCTAGAATGGTTCGGCCGCCCTTTCCAGATAGGTTCAACCTATCCTCTCTGATAGTACTTCTCTTAGAAAATAGGTAACTTACAAGAAAAAACTGTTCGCTGCCTTCCAAGGTTACCCGAACCCTAGTCTTCTCTGATTCTTCCTGATCACCAACACTCTGCAACCGTGACACGTCTTCAACAGCTGCTAAACCCTCTGGCGGTCTCCAAGAATCAGTCCACGAACTCCACTTTCTCAACTTCCAGCCCTAGAAGATTCTCATGTGGTTGGCTGGACTAGACTCACATGAGAAACCCTAACCTTGCTCTGATACCAAGTAGATGTTCAAGACTGCTATCAGTCTTGAACCCTAATAGATTTCAGGTTCGAAAAAGGAGAAAAAAGGTATAGAGGAGAGAGGAGAAAGAGTAGAGAGAGAGCAGTAGAACACAAGAATTGAAAGGAAGGACAGAATCAGAACGTTGTGCCGCCTCCACTTCTATTTATTATTTATAGGTTTTGCTAGTTACATGAAAGGACAAATCTGCCCTTGGTATTTACATAACACATAAAACAATATAAAACTGAAATATAAATAACAACTGGAATAACAGATWGACCATYARCTAACMCTAGGATGACTAGGGCACATTCTACCCTACGAACAGAGTGGGACCACAGCTGTGGGGCCCACATCAGTGTTCTCCACATAATACAAATTAATTGTACATAGGATGACCTTGCATAACCTGATGTAATACAGATTATATTTCTAATCTTTCCAAAAAAAGCTTCAACCTGTAAGATTATTAAGGATTTAGATATTTATCGGCAAATTTTTAGTATTTGACTCCATCTTCAGCAGTAATACCAAAGACATCCTTCCGGCCCCCAACAGGTGCAGAAGTTAGTAGGGTGGGATAGGGGCCTAAGTCCTAACCCACCTAGGCTCTGCCTATGTAATATTTATCATAGGTCTAAACCTCTAAATGCCCAAAGGAAGCCAAGTGACTGCAGAACAGCTCTTTTATTGGACCATCTGATTGTTAACTAATTTTTTTTAGCTAAAAGATGTCCTTTTAAATGGAAAAAAAAAACAAAAATAAAAATAATTGCTCATATGGGTAGTCAAGTAGCAGAAAATGTTAACTAGAACAATTCCACCAACATTCACTCATAGATTTTACTCAACATTTAATAAAGCATAAGCAAGTGGTGGGAATGCAACAAGTATAATTATCATAATTTCCATATGCGGTAGATGTCAGGAAGAACAGAATAAAAGAATACTGAATCCATTTGTGGGGAAGAAATAAAAGAAAAAAATAAAAATAAAATGCCATAAGTTACGTATGGTTAGATACCAGATTTATCAATACGCTCTGAACCTGCAAGATCCACAACAACTAGTTTGCCTTTCCGTACAAGTGATGGCTTAAAACTTTTGACCAAGTGGGAGGTGTTCCCGTTTTCACTTAAAATAGAAGATTCTCTTCCCTTGATAGACCTCTTAACATGTACCTACACCAAGAGGGTATTCTATCAATTCGCCACCAAAATACTCTGAAGATGGTAGAACTACCATCACCATGATCCAATGAAATGCTAGCATCAAACTAAAATAACAATCCATTCATTCACCATTAGAATAGCATGACTCCGAGAAGATTCAGTATTCAGTTTTGTGTTTGCAGCAAATCGATGTGCTTCACCAAATCGTAGCAACTCAACAAAACTTTGTTGGTCTCTGACTTCTACTAGGGTTGCACCAGGTAACGAAACATCTCCAGTTTTTGGGTCTTCCACAATGGAAATGTTATCATTTGCAGGATCAAGGAGATCTTGAATTGTCTCCATATAAAGCTGCGCATATTGGTGAAAGAAATAATGTTACAGAAATTTTAAAAGAATGAAGTCTAAAAGAACCCTGATAGAATTTAACTAGGCAGCTCTCACTTGCAGACCAGATTGAATTTGACATGTCCAAATTCAATAAGCAACTAAAAGAGACAATAAAAAGTAACCACTATATAATAATAAAACTACCATGAAATTATATAGTGTTAAGGGATTAACAACCTGCAAGTAGGAGACTGACACAGAATCAGTTTCTGGAGATATATTTGCCAAAATATCCTCCATTGAGCGCACCATAATGCCACGATATGCTGTATCTTCTTCCCCAAGTCTTCCGAGAGTGAAAGTCTTCCCTGTGCCAGTTTGTCCATAAGCCATTACAGTCCCATTATAACCATCCAGAACACTCTACAGCATGAGAAAAGACATCAGAACATGTCGCATAGAGTTAAATTCACAGGAAATGAATTACTTGATAATTGGTTCCAGAAAATACAAACTGAAAAGATAAAAAAGAAAAACATCAGAGCCGTATGCCCATCTGGCATGAATCATAAGTCACCCAAAGTCATAAGAACAGTGGCATGAATCATAAGTCACCCAAAGCCGTATGCCCAGATGAAAGAAGTTTTAGGACAATGTCAAGCAAAGAACAGGCATCTGTTGCTGTGTTGAATATGATGCATATTTGGTCTTTACACATTTTGTGACTTTCATTTTATTTATATGATACATCAATGAGAGGGTCAACTAACCGAGTTGATTTTTTTTTAGCTCTGATGATTTTATCCTCTCTTCTTTCTCTTCTTTTATTTCCTCTTCATTCTAAATGCTGAAATTATGTCTATTTCATATTCTGAAAACCACTACAGTATCAGAGCAAGAAGCAAAAGGAACCATCTTCATCCTCAACTGATCACTTTACCACAAAGGCACAAAACCCTGCTGGTTGTACTTGTATGATGACCTTGACAAGCAATATGATAGCCTGTGCCTCTTAAAAAAAATAGAATCCAGTACACTTGATTTATGGAATTTTTTTGGTATAGATATTAAACCTCTTTGAATCAGATTGGTGATTCTTCATAAACTTTTCTAAGAAAATTCAATAAAAAATTGCAGATCTGGATAATCTGCTTGGTACATGTCAGTGCATTCTGTTAGTGATGGGGAATGCAAGTGCCTGATCCTAACCTATTTTTTGGAGGCACAGAATTAAGTTTCAGGCTATTTGAGTAAGCTTTGAGTTTCTGGTGAATAAATTCCTATCTCTACATTGTCACCTCGCTCTGGAAGTCTATTTATGAACATGAAGTGTATTAAAAGCAAGAAGTGCAAGTAAAGTTCAAGGAGTTTCTAGAGCCTGAGGGCCTGAGGCACAAGGTACAAGGCAAGAAACATGCCTGAACAAAGGCACAACTTTTGAAAAGGCAAACAAAATTAAAACTCAATATACAAAAAAAAAGCAAATGTAAATTCAGGAAGAAATAAAATATTTCAAAAAGAACAGAAGCTCAATTGGTTAGATTATTGTACTATCAATACAAAGGTTGTAGCCTTGTATGTTTAAGTCCTATATAGGCTAAACAGTTTACATCCTAAGCATCATAGTTACAACCTACAGTATAGTAAATTATGCATTCAACAACAAATTCAATGTTAATCGTCAAAAGATAGCAACAACTAGGTGAAGAAACCCCACAAAATGAGCTTCATCTGTGAACCTAAGGGCATTTCTTTATCATGCTGATCTTTGATTTGCATGTTGTTACTGATTTTGTGAACCTACTGAATCTAAGGAAGCATTTTTGGAACCATGTGATCTTGCTCCAAATCAAGTTGTGAACTTCTTATCAGTTGGCTCTTACAAAATGAACCCTGTTCCTTCTCAAAGCTATAGAGTAGCCTACATTATTGGGAAGAGGTTTCAAAGTTTTGAAGGCTGTCAACTAAGCAGGAAAATTAGGAAAACAACAGGTTCTGAATTTATGGGAACAAGCTACAGTCACAGAACAAATATGAAGCCAATTTTCTGGAGTGGCCTTGGTCAGCAAAACTGTATGAAGGTGACAGAAAAATTGGATATCTTACTGATAACGAAAAGCAATCTAAGGTTGATGATCCTACCCACTCAAAGCAGAAGAACTTGATGGAAACATCATGGCTAGTCAGTTTTATGATGCCACACATAGCAAAAAATGATATATTCATGTCAACAGGAAAATAAAATTGCAATAGGGTGCCTAAGACCTATTCATAAGTCTAAAATTCTGTTCAGGTCTATCAGTTGAGATGTGGGTGATCTTCATGTATTTCTCTTCTCTTCAGGCACTACGAAGCAAATTGATCATTATGAGGTGGTTGAGTAGTGGGACCCTGATGATTCAACACAATACAAACAAATGAAGGAAAATGAATAATTTTGATATGAATCTTTCACCTGTAGGCTCTATTTGGCCACATGGAAAATGAAGGAAAACGAATCATTTCTACAAAATAAATGCTTTCTCAGGTTTCAGGTTGCATATAACATGGATTTAGAAAACAAAATAAATGCTTTCTCAATAAGTGACTACTAGCTTTTTTTGAAGATAAATAAAAAATAAAATTTATTAAGGAAACAGATTAAAGAGGATACATCAGGGTGATAAGATACCACCCAACAAAGGACAGACCAAGACTTTCAGCTTAACCCCTTAGGCCTAAGCTAATAAACCCTACAAACATCAATGACAGCCTCAGAACCCTACCCAAGTTACAACTACAAAGAACCCAAAAAGCCAATTGCATTGAGAAGCGACCTCAAGCTTTACCCATTTTCTCAGTGCATCCAGTGTCTAAGACAGAACTCTCACTTCTTATCTGGGAGGCTTTCTTTATCTTCTTCCCTAATCCCCTTCTTTAGCCACATCCCAAATACTCCCAACTTTAATCTGGCAAAAACTTTTGGAACTTGCACTGTTTGATTAGTTTTTTGTCTTCTAAATCTTCTTGCTGCAGGAATTTTCTCCATCGTTGAAATGGTCTCCTTGTTAGCATTGATTCTTTCCGATTCAAATATCGCATTATTTTCAAAAAAAAAATGAACTGCACCCAAATCTTCTCTCTTAGAATTCCCCTCCGCTTTCTCTCCATCAACCTTCAAACTCACATTCCCCTCAACCATCCGAGAACCAAAACCATCCACCTTAGTACCTGAGATGAATGTTTCCATTTTAGGAAAATGGCATTCTTTCTGATTTTTTGCAAGTCATCTGCTAAACAGAGGGTTGGCTCTCTTGGTTCAATCTGGCAGCAGCACCCTTGTGCATTTCAATAATTCAGGTTTGTTACTTTGTTTTCCATGCTAAGCCAAAAACCAGTCAAAGTTAAGATTTATTTTCCTATTGAATATATGCCTCCAAGAAAATCTTCCTCATGTTCAACCAAGTGCAACCTTAAATTAAAAGCCAACTGAAAATATGTCTTTTCTTCCATTTTTCTTTTTCTCAAAGATCATCAGCTCCAATCAGTTTACTAATCATAATTGTGATTTGTTTAATTTTATTTCCACGATATTTTTTATCCACCTTCCAAAAAAATTGGCAAAAATAAATATACAGCAAATTGCAGAGGAATGACAAGAATACTAAGATTGTTTTTGGTTTGAAGGAAAAGGTAGGGAAAGGAAGGCAAAGGTAGGGAAACCTATACAACAAACCCCTACCTTTTCCTTCAAACCAAACACAGCCTAAAGGGAAGATATGATGTCTCTGCCACTGTCTACAGTATTTTTATTGCTTCCATTATACATGGAATAGTGACCTGCCAAACTTGTTCACTTCGTCAGCAGAAAGAAATGCAACATTCGAATCCTTTTATAACAATAGCATAAAATAGACTATCATTTGATATTAAAAGGACTTCCTGTCTTCTAACATATGTATCCTGTCAACACTAATAAAGAAATTCCAACTCACTATCAAGGTCGTGACCACATAGATCGTAATGGTAGTGTAGTGCCTGATCTGTTACAGTGTGACAAGCTATGATGTACAATCAATACATCACATGAAAGATGCATCAGAAGGATAAGAGTGAAGTATGTTGAGTTATTGTCGCCTCCTCATCTACGAGGCAACAGTTTTTTGAGGCATGGTCTCCTCCAACAGGTGGCTGGAAGAAGCTGAACTTTGATGGGAGTTGTGTGGGTAATCCAGATCCTTCAGGCATTGGGGGGGCCATTAGAGATGAAAATGGAAACATTATTGCTCTGTACTCCAGTCCTGTGGAGCAGGGTGATGTGGCAAGGGCAGAGTTTCTAACTGCAGCATATGGGGTTGAGAAGGCTAAAGAGTTGGGTATTAAAAGACTGATCATCGAGGGAGACTCAAAAACTGTGATAAAATGGTTGCAGAAAGGGGAAGGGGTGACATGGCAGTTGAAGAATGAATCCGAAGACTTAAATGGATGTCAAGGAACATGTCAATCCAGGTGGGATGGGTTAGGAGATCTGCCAACAGTTTGGCAGATAGCTTAGCAAAGCAAGGGGTTCAAAGAAAACATATGTTTTGGGCACATTTGTAATTCTGTTCTGGGTCAGATTACTAAAACTGGCTTCTTTCACAACTTCTTGTTGTATCCTAAAGTTTTCTAATTAATGAAACCTTTTCAGAGTTATTGATCAAAAAAAAAAAAAAGGTGAAGTACGTCGAGTGACTTTAGTCATACATGGTTTAGGGAACTACTCATCAAACCTCTTGTATCTACATACTTCAAGTGTTATAAAAATCTTACAATTTATGACATGATTTGCAATTCAAATCACGAATCCCAGGGGTTTCAATTTGAATCTTATGTCATCCTTATTTGCAAAAATCTTTGACTTTTTTGCAGGGTTCAAAATTTAGATATGATATGCCTTGTATCAAACATATCATATCTTTTGATGCCTAATACACCTATTTTAAAGGCTTTTCCAAGAAAACCCTTTTTAAATGTTAAATAACATTAATATCATCCCCCTCTGAAAATATGAAAGTAAAAAAAAAATTTGATACAATCAAAACACTTGATATGCATGTTCCTGTGTATTTAGGGATGGCAATTTCTACCCTACCCGATGGGTACCTGCCCCTACCCTACCCGAGGGGGCAGGTTTTTTTGCTTGAAGGACAGATTTTGGGGCGGGGACGGGTTTTAGGATTCTACAACCCATACGAGTACGGGTAGGGTACGGTATTAGGCTAAACCCGACCCTCCCAGACTCGCATATTGTTGGAAAGCATATAAACTTTATGTACCAAGTGTTGAATTTAATAATATTTTGAATTTTATGTAAAAGATAATTGATAGTTTGTGTTTTCTACATGTCTTAATCAAATAATTGAAAATTTTGTTGTTTATTTATGTTATTTTACTTATTTATTTCTTATATATGACAAGAAATAATAGGAAATTAGATACGGGTTCTAATTTGGGGAGGGTAGGGTCGGGAAGGGTTTTGGGTTTTCATGTGCAGGTAGGGTTTGGATTCTCAAAATCCAACCCACTACGGGTTTTGGGGTGGGTCCAGGTTGGGAGGTTTAGGAAGGCAGGTAGGGTCAAGAATTTACAAAACCCTCCCCGAACCCACCCTGTTGCCATCCCTATGCGTATTGGGTGTATCAATACTTTGAACCTTGTTTTTTGTTTAAATCTTATGATTCGATTCATGAATGTTACAATTTATGCGATTCAAATCAATTCAAATTTATTCAATTAAGAATTAGCTCTACTTTCTCATTTCTTTGTTTCTATTTAGTTTTGATATGGGAGACTTGTTTTAAAGCTCTTACTAGAAAATGATTTATTTAGGTTATTTAAGACCAGATATTGAGTTAATTTTGCATCATATGTAGAGCCATTGTATGTTGGATTATTTGGCATTCGAGTCAAACTCCATTATATCATCTTAAGCTTCTAGCATACAAGTAGTAAATTTTGTTGTTTTAGGTACACATACGGTAGATATGGATTAGAAATAGGGTAAAATCACTTTTCCATATATATTTAGATTTTTAATATCTCTAATTTTTACTTTTTTGACAAATTTATTCACAAATCGATTTAATTCAGCTTTCTCTATGATTTACAATATGTTTACAATTTTCAGAACATCACACAGAAGTTGTTGAATGGAAAAATCATCATATCCTTATGGTTGCAAGGAGTTGCATGTTGGCCCATGTCCATACTCATTTTTAGAGTTCTACCATTCAAACTAGAACTTATTTCGCAAATGGCATGCCATCCCTTATTCTTCAGTTACAGTCCCTATATTACCTTGTCTTCCTAATACACTTCCATTTTCTATTCCTTTGCACGTATATAGGTGCATCTATTCCATTTACATTTTGGGTCCACATTGATCAAAATCTGATCCCTATATTTTCTTACCAGTTTTATCTCTAGGGTATTCATGGTGTTCTTCAGGGGCTTTCTTTCACTGAGAAAGATTGCTTGTGTTTTGGTATGATGGATGTCACTTTCTTTAAGTCCACTCCTTATTTCTCTCCCTGGGCTTCTTCAAGGGAAGAGATGTAATATTGGAGAAGACTGAGCCCTTTTTCTTTACGCTAAGTTTTTAAGAATGAAAAGTTGTGCAAGGAACATTAGAAAGAAGAGGGAGAAGGGGGGGAGGAATAAGAAGAAGAGATGGCAGGTGAAGAGAAAGAAAAAAAGCTCACAGTGATTGGCTGTCTTATTTAATTTATATTTTGTGTTACAATAACTTTAATTTCAAATGACCTTATCACCCCACAAATGGTATACCAATTACTCTCTACATTTACATTTACCTAGTCTTATTGCAGATGGTACTACTGTAATTACTCTTGCAGACATGATGTACAAAGAATTCTAGGCATACAGAAGAAGCCAAAGGTAGCTCTTATTGCTAATCTACCACACCATCAGATTATTTGGAGCGTATTCCAGGTAGTTCCACTCCTGATATTCTGAAGTCCTTGATCCCATTGATCTATCTCATTCTAAAATCCCTTGTAATATGAATACTCCTATTGCCTTGCACAAAGTCATCCCATTACACAAATCAAAAGCCTTTGAAAAAAGAACCCAATAGAGATAATAGGAGGTTATACGAAAACATATCCCGCCAAAGGATGGGAATAGCAATCAATTAAAGCCAATAATTAAGGCACAGAGATCACTCCTCTAATTGCTGAGCAAATTGAAGAAGGAATCAGGCAGATGGAATATAGCACAAGTTCATATAGGCAACACTAATCATAAGGCAAATGCTGAAATTGTTCATTTACAAGACATAAGCTTGTATGGACAGAAAGTGTAGCACAAATGCACAATAATGCATATTTCCTGAACACATTAAAACAAAAGTTAAAAGAAAAAATGTGTCAAGATGAATTCCAGAACTAATTAAATTAAGTTGAAAGAAATCCTCTACTTGTGATAATGATTCACAGAATATTAGCTAAAACACTTACAAATAACAATTCTGAAAATCATTTTATTATTGTAAAAAAAAATTATTGATAACAGTTCATAGCTTTAGTTATTTTAGTGGAAAAAAGTATGTACAAACAGTAGTTTGCCTAGCACCCTGTTCTAAATAAAACGGTTTTGGATCATAAAATTCTGACTAGAATAAATCTCCTTATCTTCACTATGAATTATAACATTGCTCCGACACCCATCAGGAGAAATAATTTTGTTCTATTTTTTATGGCAAGGAAAAGAAAAATTGTTAAAAAAAATTACAATGCCAAGCAAAGAATGAAGGGATGTCACCAAATGCATCAAAGCAGTCATGGACTAAATGCAACCACTCATAGACAACAGTCCTTTACACTCCAAAGACCACAATCACCTATTTCCCAAATCATACTCTAATACTGCAATGATATCAGACCAATGTTTTTATTGGTGAATCTGACTGAAATAATTCTGTTTTACTATGACTACATTGGTTATGAGACATTTACAAGATCTGTTGAACTTCTCAGAATTTCAGAGACCGGAGATGGAGAAATGTTTACAACTGGTGGTAGGATGGATGAGGGATGATAATGATAATAATGGCACTTGGCTCTTGCATCATCACATGCAAGAATCTAGATCTTTGCTAGCAATAGTTCAATTCCTTAGCTGATACTACACTAACCTAGATCAGGAGTTGACACAGCAGAGCTCTATTGTGGTGCTACAGTCCTGTAGAGAATTTTTGGGGCTGTTTTGTTTCATTGAGTTGTTCTCTTTCTTTAGGTGAACCTGTCTTCAAGCAATGGATGTGGATTTTTTTCGTGCCAAAGGATTTTTTTTCTCTCATTTATTTGTATCTTCTTTTCCCTCTCCTTGATAATTTAATATTTTTTGTTGTTGGTCAGAAAAAATTGATATTGTTCAGCACCACTAACTTTTTTTTTATTCTTCACAAGTCATACATAAAATATTATCTTATTCAGCATGGACACCAAGATTGGTAATACCATGTTCCAAATGCTTCCACAAGCATAACAACCAAAGCATGGAATTACAAAATTTAGGAAGGCCTAGATGTGAGTCGCAAAATTCCATCCAGAGGAAGATCAAACTCTCGAAAGGAAGCAAGTCTTCTAGGTTATGATTGGATGCTATTACTTCTTTCTCTCTTTTATTTCCTTTTTATTTTTTCTTTTTTCTTTTTTCTTTTTTCTTTTTTTTTTTTTTGGGGGGGGGGGTTAGGACTCGGGATGGTTGCTCAATCCTGTAATGGTAATAAAAAAAGGAAATCATAAAGTAGACCAAATGGTCAAACACATGTTAAACGAAAGCCTTGATAGCAAAGTGGATTGGCCCAATATCTATTAAAAAAATATCAGATATTCACACAACATTATGCTCTTTTATAGGTCAAACAATACTTGTATAAACTAACTACAAGGATGTCAAACAATTGCCTATAATGCATACCTCCACAACTGGTTTTGCCACGACTTCATAGACCCGTTTCTGCGATGCAAACTCAGTGAGCACTTCATCAAATTCATATGTGTCAGAGTCCCAATTGTTTTTGCGAAGTTTCAACCTTTTAAGCTATAACCCAAAAGGAAAATTATCAAGATAAGAGTAGAAATATTCCATTAAATAATGTCTCTAAGGAGAACATTAAGGAGGTAAAATAGTTTTGATATTGGAACATGGGACATACAAACCTCTGGCTGCAACTCCACGCAATCAGCAAAATCAGCATCTGCAACTAATTCCTCTGCATTACGTGGCCTCAGTCTCACTGCCACTCGAACTCTTCCAGAAACTGTACACAATGATAAAATCAATTAGAACAATCCAACCTATCCAGACTCCATCATGCATGGATGCATTATGTGCATCAGGATAATGCAACGTCCATCATAAAAAGAGAAATATGAATAGAAAATAAGTATGAATCAAGATGGATCAGTTGGGAAAAAAAGAAAAATAAAAAATGAGCATCTAGACACCTGTTTGCTAGTTTAAAATGAAAAAGAAAAAACTGTCCGCTCTTTTGTATAAACATTTTTGAGAAGAAATACAAACATATTTTATCAAAATTCAATTTGAAAATGGCATTATGTTAATCAGTTAATCAGCAAGGAAATCCTATGATTCTAACAATTTGAAGATATAAAATGAGAAGTATAATATTCTTCAGAGTCCAAATTAGAGCAAGGAAATTAGGAAAAAAACGAATTATTGGTTATAATAATACCAAATACCATAACTCAGATGTCATCCAAGAATTACGCGGTGTTCGGCACGTCTTTCAGTCTGCAAGAAGATTGGAGGACCAAAATTGGTCATTTCCCATTTCGTATTGGATAGATCAGAAGACCCCAAGATGAGCATGCAAAAAGACCGGAAAAGGCCAAAAATTGGGAAGCTTCAAATGAAGCTTTTAGTCTTTGCATGCTGAAAATAGCCTCCCCAGCTGTTTTTAACAGCCTGGTAGACCACAATGCTTACCAAACAGTCTTGGTCTTGAAAGACAAGACCCCAAAAGCTCAACGCATCTTCTTGTCTACTGGGCTGTTGAAAGATCTACCTAGAAAGGCTTGCTAAACGCCACCTTAGTCACTCAATCCTTGCATGTCTGTATGCAATGAAGTTATCCTCATAAACTTGATGTCTTTGGAAGCAAAAAGAACTAAAATAGGTTTCTGTTAAAAGAATTGTAAAATTCTATTACCAGATTATAACTCCTCCAAACATTCCACATTTTTTCTTTATCACTTACATATTCCACGATCAAAGTTAATCAGAATGAAAATACCCAAAGATGAAAGCTACTACACACACCGCTGACTCAAAAACCAAATAAGAACTAACAAAGTAACAAACATAAGTTAGATTACCCTGTTATGTTAAGGACAAAATTGGGTTACAGAAGGTTGGAATAAAAGTAAAACGCCAGACAGGGATATTTTAAGCATCCAGGAAATATACAGCAAGAAACTCCTACTATGAGAAGAACAACTGGTTCATGATTATATGCAAAACTCATGACCTTTCATAATGCTGACCCCCAGAGCTGTGTACCCCTCTGTTATTATCCCGTTTTATCAAAAAAAAAAAAAAGGAAAAAATAAACTGACAAAATGCTGACCAACAATCCCATCAACTAAACCCAGAACTACTTTTTGAGGCCAGAAACAGCAAGTTGTTGTGACACTCACACACATATACATCAAAGTTACTCAAGTATATCATTGACCAAGCTCCAAAATAGTTTTAACTAAACGTGGAATATAACAATGTTATCTATTGCATCATCTTTTCTTGAAAAAAAAAAAAACTAAGTAAAGTTATTAATAAAAAAGATTGTCTGGTGGGTCAGTGTGTGACTGTAGATATAATCCAAGGAGAGAGCAAAGAATGTGAGTCATTTTTATCTTTCTTTGATTGCAAAGATATATATATATATATACACACACACATAGTTTTTATCTTTCTTTCAAGTTTCAAGCATTGCATTTGTTGTTCAATTATCACAATTTACAGGATGAAGGAATCATGGATTGTTGGTCCGTGATCCTAGGTTTTTCATTAGAAACAGTTTAGTTTTACTGCTGATGAATAAAAGAATGAATGTTGGTCCGTGATCCTAGCCACGCACCTCATATGCATAAGTTAGCAACTACCACCTGGCCCTTCCCCTCCCCAATTACATGTAGTTCTTTTACAACCATCCCCAAAGATATTGACCTCCATTAACCCCTTGTCCAGCCATTTTACCAGCCTATCTATTTGCTTATCTTTGAACCCAAGTAAGGGAGGATACCACTCCATTAGCCAAGCATGTTAGGATTTTGAAGGTTTTTATTTTGATCATTTATGAGGCCAATGCCGTCGCATTTTCTTCAACTCTTCTTTTGATGTTGATGCAACTGTGGAAGCAAGAAAAGAAACCATGGAAGAAGAAATCAAGCAAATAGAAGTGGATTGTTATAATTATAAAAGACATCGACCAGGGGGGAGAAAAAAAACAGATAATAATTTGCTTAAGGTATAGCACATAGGAACAGACAGAGTTGCAGAGTCAACAATTTTCTCAATATTGTCACATGTTAAAGTTGAAACATAAATATGCTTCATAGAATACCAAAAGGGGTGCTAAAGAGTTTGTTATTGTCCCAGGGTCATTCTTGCATCTCACCCAATATAATTTCGTCCCCAAGACCATAGGTTGATTTTCTTTTTTCTTTTTTCTTTTTTTTTGACAATTTAGGTTGATTTTCATCTGTATAACCTAAAAACATAAATCAATTTGTTGAACCAAAGCAAACACGGATAAATAAAGGAAATGTTCCAAGCACATAAAGCAGGAATACTTTAAATTTTATCATATGTCAAACAGACCCGTTATCCAATTAAAAACAATCGGTATGAAAAGAGCCTACCAGGTTAGTCAGTTTCAGAAAGTCGATGGAATGGAATCTCCCCAAAAATGTGTGTGTGTGTGTGTGTGTGTGTGAGAGAGAGAGAGAGAGAGAGAGAGAGAGAGAGAGAGAAAGAGAGAGAATTTTCCCATCTCCATTTCCATCTACCTAATATCCATTTCCACCAAAAGCGAAAAGCCAATCTCAGGATATGGCAACTCAAAAGCTCAAAATCCCTTTCCCACAGTAATATTTAGTACAAAAACAGATCTTAAACCTCTTCGGTTATCAAATTCAGCAATCGTAACCAAAGAACAGGGGAAATGCCATAACCCGATTGCTGATTCAGTTCCAACTTAAAACATGAAGCGGATATGAGAACTCGTACTTACCTACGGAGTCATCCTTTACAGGCCCGGCGGAACCACTGATCGGGGCCTGGCCGCTCCGACGAATGGCAGGAGCATTGTACGGAGATTGTGCGGACTTGGATTTTATAGAAGAGGTCTTCACGTTCGAATTCATGGACAATGGTCTGTCAACCTTCAAGGCCCCCTTCGTGGTTCCATTTCTATAACCAGAAGCCATACCTTCTCCCTTCCTTCAACAGTTCCCCGCCATTAAGACTGAAAATCGAGAAACCTCAAGAAACGAAACAAGACAGAGACCAGAAGACGAGAGATATGCGTCTGCAGAAGCTCTCCCAAATTTAAATTATGAGATAGAAAAAGATGGAGGATACAGGCTAGTAAAGAGAGAGAGAGAGAGAGAGACTGGTTTCGGAAAACACGCACAAGATGACTTGCGGTCACTGAGTAGAGTCTGTAGAGAGGGGAAGTGGGTCCACTGAGCATATGCTCGTCTGAAGTGGTAAGCGAGGGAGAGAGAGAGAGAGAGGCCCGAGAGATGAGGACGACATGAACGCCGCTTAGTGGGTCCCGCTTTTCCTCTTCCTTTTAATTTTCTTCCTCCGACGGTCCGACCTCCATTTTTAATAATGTAAAATAAAGTTAAATTAAAAAAAAATAAATCTGAAATATCCTTTTTATTCGCATTTCACACTTCACAGAGAACTGATATGAACCGCCCTCGTGACGGTCTTAAATTACTCCGACCGGTTATATACTGTACCAACGCGGACCTATGAAATGACTGAATTGTCCTTGAATTTTTTTATAGAAATTCGTATATTCCTCTGAATCAACTCAAACCGTGTTAATCATACGGCCCGTACCATAGCTTACTCTAAGGTTCTTTGGTGTACGGAGGTTCAAAGTATCGATCCGGGCGTATCTTATTATCTTTTGGTCTCCATACATATCTATTTATATGTGTTTCGGGAACTTGATTTATTTCAATAAAAAATTTATTAAAAAAAGTTTTTTAAAATCATATTTTAAATAAAAAACTAAAAAAAACCATTGAACGTGTGTTTTTAAGTACCGATACATGGGCGTATCGATACTTTGAACCATTGAATTTACTACCATGGCTTATTCCGGGTTATCATAGGGGTTGTGTCAAGTTAGGGCTGCAAAACGGGTTGGATCTGATTCGGTAGGGCATATTCTATCCGATCCGTTAAGAAAATCCGGTTGATCTGAACCCGGTGAGGATTCATCGGATTTTCAAAAGCATGATTCGAATTCAAATTTGAATGTATTATCGGATATATGATTATAATTATATTTATATTATGTAATATAAATAATATATTATATATAATATTATCGGATATATGATTATATTATTTATAAAATATAATAATATATTAAATTATATAAATAATATATAGAATATATATAATATGTAAATAATATATAATATATAATAATTCATAATGAATGGATCGGATTGGGTCACAGCGGATCAGATAATCCAATATCCGAATTCCATCCGTTAAGTTAACGGATTGGTATTGAATTTGATTTGACTTATTTGCAGCCCTATGTCAAGTCAGTCCTCAGACTTCAAAACACGTCTATGTAGTACCCCAAACTTTTAAAAATGCATCCAATAGGTCCTTGTCATTAACGATTTATCAGTAATCTATATCACGTGATGATATGTGTCACTTAAAACTTTTAAAATATCAAAACTACCATTGAAAAAATACATTTTTATTGTCTTCTACGTTGAGACTTGAGAGTTGTGCCATTATTATGACGGTGGCACAAACATATTTGAACAAACCAACGATGATGCCAAGAACTGACCAAGTTCCGGCAATAGCTGAAACCACCATTGCTATGGTTTCTTATATATTCTTTCTTTTTTTTTTTAAATTTTATGTAATCCATGAAAATCTTCTATATACTCTAAAATCTGTCTTGGATAGTTGCTACAACCTTCCTATCTCAACTAGGATGCAAGGGGAAATGATGTCGATTTTAGCATTGTTGATCGTTAATGTTTCATCACAATGGTATAACTTAGTTTATTCTTTGCTTATTTCAGGATTTACTTGCATTTGGATTCGACTAAGTGTAAACAAACCTTCTTATGGATTTGACTTCATTTACTTGTATTTGGAGTTTTGTTTAAATTGATTTATGTGGAAATGGTAGATAAAGAAAATTAGATGACAGCTGATGGGTAGTTTTGACATTTTCAAAATTAATTGATGGACCGTTAATGATAGGGACCTATTAGACACATTATAAAAATTTGGGGTACTACATAGACATGTTTTGAAGTTTGGGAACTGACTTGACACAATCCCTAAAGTTCTAAAGTTCTTTTCAAGAGATATTTATTGTATATTTAATTTTTATTGGTTTTTTATATGTATTACCCCTAATCCCCATTCTCTCCCACTTATCACTTTTCTAATTGTACAAACTCATAAAAATTTATGAGGTGGGATGAACAATAAAAACCCTTTTTTTTTAATTACAACAATGTCATTTTGTTGTTTTGTCAAAAAGTTGCTTTTATAAAATCAAGATTTCTATATCTATATATTATAATGGAATGTGCCAAGTTTGCCTTGTGGTTTATTTCCAAAGTCACGCATCTTTTTTTTGGTTTCTTCTCAAAGGTATTTATCTTTTTCTTTTTATTTATTTTTTTATTTTTTTAATTTTAAAATTGAACAAAATAACTAAAGTGACCAATCACCTTTAAGACTTCCAACACTCCTCATTAATACACCATTAACTCTCTCTCTCTCTCTCTCTCCTCATTAACTATGTCATTAACTATCTCCTTCAATAATTCATGCCACTAATTATCTCTCATCTCCATTACTCCATTAAATTGCATAAAATACATTAACTTTATGTGTATATATACATTTCAATCTAACTATATATATATATATATATATGCATAAAATTATAATTATTAGTAAAGATTAATTATAATGAAATTGAGATTTTCAATGATATATTATTGTGCTAAATAATCTACTTTCACTTAAAATTATAATCCATTTATATTCAATTTAAGAATAATAAAAATTAATTAACCATAATAAAAATAATTTAGTAAGTTACTTAAATAAAATAATAAAAATATTTTTATTAATATAATAAAAAGAACTCAATTAATAAAAGGAATAAGATAAATTAAAAACTAATATCGATTTAAAATAAATATAAAACTAATACAAAATAATCAATCAATTAATAGTTTTATAATTAAATTTTATTAATTTAAAACCAACTTAAGTTCCACTAAAAAATAAAAATTTATGTAGTTAATTAAATTTTCATAAGGAATTTAAATTTAATAAAAACTTAATACACTTAAATAAATTAAATTTTTAATAATTTCAAAAAATAATAAAAAATATTAATCTTAAATATAGTTTAATTATTTTAAAATCAATTTAAATTCTATTTAAAATTATAAAAATCTCCTTGGGTTTTCTAACAATCATATGAAACTCCCTGGTGCTTTGTGACCTTAACAAAAACCTCCCGTGTTGTTTTAAAAAAGGTGCAAATACCTTCATTTCATTAGCATTCCGAATAAAAAATGTTGATGCAATTCATTAATTTTACTCCATTTCACCATTTTTACCTTACTTTGTCAAAGAAGAGTAAGGAGAATTATTCTTTGGAAGTTGTTTTGTTAGCGAAAAGCAAAGGGAAATGAGGTATTTACACTTTTTTTCTCAAAACTATACGGAAAGCCTTTGTTAGGGTCGAAACATAAAGGTGGCTTATAGAATTGTTATTCGAGGATTTTTTTTATAATTTTACCTAAAAATAATAATAAACCAATAAAATTAATAAAAAATTCTGTTTAGAAAAACTTCAAAATATACAAAAAAAATTGATAAACAATTAACCAAACGGCATTTCAAACTCTATTGGGAAAAGTCCTACGTGGCACTGAGCAAGCATTGTTTTTCAAAAAAACAAATGACAATAAGATAAGAGTAAATTACAGCAATATTCCCTAGTCCCTACTATGTCAAAAAATTCCATTGACCTCCCTTATTGAGTTATGGGGGTAGCCCGTCCGGCCGTCCCCCATCCCCTTAGCCCCCTACCTTAATGGCATCAAGATTCGATCCCAAATTTATGGGACAACGAGTCAAAGATCCTACCAATTGCTCTACCATCAATTATTAGTTCTAAAAAATTATTTTTAGTTAAAATCAAGAAAATAAATGTAAAATACCATTAAACCTCATTCTTTTTATCCCAATAAGACTTTTCTCTCCATTATCACTTTTATCCTTGTGGGCAATTTAGTTCCCACAAAAGAAAGTGGCCCAAAAATTTACATAAGAGAAAAACACTTTCCATGAGTCCTACAATTCCCTAGGAAAAAAATGAGAAAATTGGTCCCCCACCTCCCATATAGTGCAAAAGAATGGAGCCTAATTGAAAAATTTTATGAATCCACACCATTAACAAAGTAAGGGAAAACCTATGCTACCAGAAATGTATGATATCACACTATTTCAAAGTTTATTCCTAGACAGTACACACACACATATATATATATATATATATAGAAAAAAGATGAGTTACATAAGCCGGGGGTAGCTCTTCTCCTTAAATTAGCATCACAAATAAAATTAAAATCACAAGATATAAAATCCATACTGTACATAGAGTAGTTCAGTGGGCGAAGAACCATCGGAACCATCATTTTGTGTTACAAAATTATCCCAACTGACTACTAAATGTGCAAGACTTTGTAAATATTCAGTTCGCTTAATATAGTTTGTTTATTAATTTATCAAAAAAAAAGGCATGATGCTAGAAATGCTTTGACTGGTTTATTTATCAAAAAAATAAAAGGCATGATATCAGAAATGCTCTGACCAATCAAACGCCCTGTGAATGCTGATATTTTACCTCAATCGGTTCAGTCTCAAGGTAGAAGATAATGAACAGTTTCTTCTTTTAAATGGTAGTTTTGACATTTTCAATAAATAGCTGATGACCGGTTAATAGCATGGACCAATTTGATTCTTTTTGAAAGTTTAGGTACTGCAGTGATACATTAGAAAGTTTGGATGCTAACTTGACACTACCCCCAAAGTTTAAGACACTAAAGTGGAATTTTTCCTACAATATTTTATTCCATGAGACACTATTGGCCTCAAGCAACAGCTTGTGATTAACTAAACATATTGTTTTAAGTTTTATCGGATGTCTTCGAAGAGGCAAACAGATTGTTTTAACTTTTAAGTTACACAATCATTGTTTTACCAGTTAGATGAGTAAAGAATGGTTTTTTTCTTTGTTTTTTTTTTTTTATTGGGGGTAGGGGGTCGAAGGATTAAAAATGGCTCGGCGCCATGAACCAATCACTGCCTTGGTTTTAGTAATAATAACGAGTTAATATCATTAATCACAAAAGGACAGAACTTAATCATAACTAGGCAAAAGTAAGCTAAAGAGAGCAAACACGAGAGGACTCTCTTTTGATTTAAAAGGACACTATGAAAACATCTACGTCTGAGCAGCAGATCGGA